CTCCACTAGATTTGGCGGGCAGCCGCACTGACAAACTCCTTCTAACCTGCACTTCCTAGGTGCCTGCAGATGTTTTACTCCTGCTCCCAGATTTCTGTCTGGAAACAGACTTTTCCTTCCGCAAACAATGCTATTGATCATTAAAAGGCGTCCCATGGGTTCACCCATGTCCATTTTCCCGGCAGAGGCCATTATGCAGAAATTAAAAACAATGGTTCCTCCCACAGTTAACCCAGAACTCTGGCTACGATATATAGGTGACACTTTTTTCATCATCAAGAAAGTTAGTTAAATCTGTTCCATACAAATTTTAACTCTATATTCCCCGGAATCAAGTTTACTTTAGAAGCGGGAGTTGATGAACAGCTCCCATTCCTGGGTGTCCTTCTACGTCGAAAAGCTGATGGATCACTTCACACTTCAGTTTATCGCAAAAAGGCGTTTTCAGAGGTCATCCTACATTTTGAGAGCAACGACCTACAGCCTACAGCGCTCTGAATCGAGCCAAAACTCCCTGCTTTGATGAAACGAGTTACCGAGTATAAATAAAATACCTCTGCAAACTATTTTCCAAAAATTGGTACCCGCATGACTTTATATGCCAATGCATGAGGCATCGGCAACTCAAGTGGAACGATATGTTCAATATTACGGCTGACCGGACACTAAAACTAATCACCTGGCGAACTCTTTCATGCGTGAAAAATGTATCTGAACTGGTCGAAAGACAACTAAATAATATCATATGCACGTAACACACAGCTTGTACACCCTAAGGACAGGCTTGGCTGCCTCAGAAAAAAATGTTTTCTACAAAATCCCATGCACCAGTTGTGATACCGTCTATTGTGGCTAAACTGGGAAATTTGTCTCAATTCGTATACATGCACATCAGTTAGTGGTGAAAAGATGCGACCGTCTATTCCAGGTGGCCATGCACATACTAAACACTGGACACAAATTTGTGAGGGGCAACACTCGTATTATTGGCGCCTGCCCAAGTAGGAAAGATCATGAATTCCTGGAAACACAGATGAGGCATATCGATCTACATGCCACTTACAAGATCGTCAAAGAAAAATTTAAACTGGCGCAGCCAATCTCAAAGAGACGATGTAATGCAGTCAACACGTATCGGCACAGATGTTGACCAATCATAGGATCCCCTGTTAGACTCACTTAAGAAGTTAATTGTTTTTGTACGCCCATAGTCTGACGACGATCTGGCGGTCTAGCCTTGAAAATTTTCAGAGTAAAAGTTACAGTTTCCCATGAAATTCATCTCCCTTATCAAATTTCTCTGGACCCCGTTTTCCAATATATTTGTTGTACATGATTATTTATCGATTCTCAGCTCCCCGTGCGTGTTCGCGGATCCGGTCAATTGCTTTTTTTTATTTACTTGCATTCAATCTAACCTTGCACATATACTGCTACAGTGCAGCTATTGTAGACCTTCGGGTAGCGGGCGATTTCTTTGAATTTAAATTTGGCCCACCTAGCGAGATCATGGTGAGTCTTGTCAGTTGACTCAATATGCCCTGTTTCGCAGGTCTTTCCAATGATAGGCTCTCTCGTTCAGGTCAACTCATCTCAGTAATGGTTCCAGTTTCCCGAGAAAACTCCTAACGTTTTTGAGCAACATTCACAACATATTTCTCTTCTTCTCAGGTGCGAATTTACGCTGGTTGCCTACTGTAAGTTCCGCTTTATTTATGTCCTCTTTTTATCCTTTAAGGGTAACATGCGTTACATCCCTCATAAAATTCTACAATCAACAGCGAGAACTGATGCTGATGTGTAAACTAGACTAATCTGAGGACTAAACTAAGGAAGTATTCCGATGTAAGTGACAGGCATGACTGTCTAGGCTTCACAGTATGTTGTCCGGTCGAATGGCAGCTGAAAAAATATCAGATACACATAGCACACCAGCCGGCAACTGCCTTATGCGCACAGCTTGTATACCCTAAGGGCAGGGTTAGCTACCTTGATGGTAAAGGTGTTGTCCACAAAATCTCGTGTGCTAGTTGTGATGCCGTCTACTGTGGCCAAGTTGGGAAGTCTGTCCCAACCCGTATACATGTACATAAGTTAGTGGTGAGGAGACGATATGGCCCTAGCAGATATGTTCCACGTTTTTATGAGGAAGTCTTGAGTCTCTTATCATTGAGAGTGTCACAGAGCCCACATTAAGAAAGGACATTTGTAGCTTGCTTCTCGGTCGTGGGAAGCACAGAGTTATCTCGTCAGCTGACAACCCTTCGGACAATCACTGATAGGGCGTCGTGATGGATTCGAACGAGGAATTTGCTGATGCGCCGTGGGCATAAAGACCCTAGTGTCGGCCCCGTCCTCTCTTCCTTCTCCCAGACACCAGTCCCCTGTCCGAGTCCGTCAACCAGTAGGTGATATGACTGGGGGTATGTGCTGGTGCGGCTTCAGAGCCTACGTCTAAACGTGCCACTACACCCCCGCATGTACGGCAGTAGTTATGGGTGCGCGCGCGGACTCTGCAAGGTCTGAGTACGAAGTCTACAACATCCCATGTGAAACCTGCAATGCCATATACTGTGGCCAAACTGGAAAGTCCACCTGCACACGCATCCACGAACACCAGTTAGTTGTTAAGAGTCGATATCACCTATCTTAAATGGCCATGCACACATTAAATACTGAGCATGCTTTTGCGTGAGACAAGACTCGCATAGTGCGGACTCTGCACGATCCGATTAACGCGTGCCATGAGCCAGTCTGACCCTCATATGTCGCTCCACTGCATCTGCAACGCAGCCCGTTGTGGAGACCAAGTGTTATTAATGCGTTATTTTGACTGTCGCAATCGACGATGTCCATCGTGTGCTCCAAAACAAGACGAAGCAGGCACGGTGACCTGTGCGTGACTTAGGTTATAGTGGTAGTAGACTTGCACAGCGTCAACCGCGCCCTCTCCCCCTCCCCACCTGGACTCGGTGTCAAGGCAGAGTCAAAACGACCGGAGGCGATGGAGAGCGTAGATGGATGACACGCTTGAGTCCGTACCTTGGTCGTCCACCCCACACCCCCTGGTCCACACAGCAAATGACTAGGTTTTTGACCAACAACAACAGTCTCGGAGGGGGGGGGGGGGCGGGAGGCATCCCAGTGTGCACGACGTCTGCCGGTCACCGGTTCTGCCATCGCACCCCGAAATTTTGGCATCCGTTATGCTGCGCAGTTCCGATAACGCCTGCCGGAATCCGATATGACCCCCGTGTGGGTCCAACGCATCTATCACGTGGCCCGTTTGGGGAGCAATATTATCTATACATGTGGCTAGACAGACACACGACCGGGTAGCCCGTTCTGGATGTCGCAGTAAAGTGTCTCGTCTCCATGGCCCTCATGAGAAAAGCCATCTAAACTTGCAGGCCTGGATGCGGTATGAAGACTTCTATGGACCTCATTGACGGCAGTAGTTACGTACGTATTGTGTGGGGCGTATATGGACTCAAAAAAGGCATAATCAGAGAAGTCGGCGTGAAATAGCTAATTGTCAGGATAGTTGCCAGGAGCAAGATAGGTCTCCGAACTTTAACCCCGACAAAATATTTCCACTTACAGATATAGACTTGCGTTGAGGACTGCACACCGAGTATGTGACTATTCTGAAGTTGAACAACCATCCCTGAACAGAGCTAAACAGTACGAAAAACCAAATACCCGGACTAACTGGTGCTGCCTTATTCTCATCGTTTCAACCGGTCTCGCAATGCCCATACGAGCTCCGGCAAGAAGCCAATTATTGCTTAGATCTAGCAGAGCCACGTGCCTTCCTGGATCCGGAGCAACTATCCGGCTCTTCCAGGGCGTTCATGATGTGGAACGGGGCTCCCTGCCTGAGTAGATGTGGCTCATATGAAACACCAATGGTTTCCCAATGTCGATACAAGCTCCGAGCTGCCTAGATCTTGATCATTTGAACATGAACATCTACTTGGGCAAATTCTTGCAAAGTTCTGCATCTCAGTCTCAAACTCCTAGAGCTTCTTATCACGAAGAGCACTCGAATAATCATCTATCTAGGAATCGGACGGTTAGCAAGGTTGTTTAAAATGAACTAAACTAGGCACCAAAATGCACTTACTGCAAAGGTCTATGTTGCATCCAGCTTCACGCTCTCCTGTTGATATTCCCCTTTTCCCTTTTCGTAACCCTCTTTTGAGCTTGATCGGCGTTCTTTTAATTACCTAGTTTTCGTATTCTGACCTTGAGCTGGAAATTCGATTTGCTCGAACAGTAACAAAGGAACTTTTTGTCTAGGCTATCCATTGTTGACGTTTGTACGGTTTTAATTATTACCTTATTCTATCAATAGTACTGTATATACACCAAAATCTGTTTTGGCTTATACGCGTGACTCAATTCACCAAGAATTCTACTGTTCTACTGTATGTTTTTTTAAATATATCATTTTTGCACTTTTAGATCAAACTTCATGTGTGGAAGCGGTGTAATTTTCTTAGACACCTTCTATCTCCCAACCCCAACTCCGTACATATTTTCCAATCTAACTCATGTTGCATGTCTTCGTTAAAGTTTCCTAAATTTAGTTGCATGAAGCGTGTTTGAGCGGACTGCGAAGGAAAAAATTCCAACCTGAGATTGCTAATAACTTGTCAAATTTAAAGAAAAAGGTAAACTCCATCAAAGCCAACTTTTTGTCACTACTATCTCAAGAAATGGTCGTTTCATGTAAACCTTTAACACTGAGAGAAAAGATAGATGGCGCTGAAACAAACGAATACAGCACTGGTTCAAATGCAACAAAAAATTGTCGCCAAAATTTTCTATTTGTTGTATTTTCAACGATAAAAAAGTTGTTTGGAAAATTTTTCGTCAGTTACATTTCCTTACCTATGTTGGAGATAGGCTATAGTTGTTCTCTTACAAGACTGGGCTGAACTGTTATTGTCAGTGAAATACATGGATTCTGTACTTGACACCTGTCCCCCTGCTAATTACGCATCCTCAAACGTGAAGATCTCCTTCTTATCCGGTGACTCCCAGGTGCGAATCCACGCACTGACTCGGTATATCTTGCCATCGGGACAACCGTCTGTGCAGAGGTCTTGGACACAGGTCTCCCCGTGCTCCGCTGCCTTGGTGACCGTCACATTCATGTGCCACTGGAATAGCTGTCCAGTAACTACCTGTGTCGTCTGATTGTGCACAGAATTCAGGCTGAATTCCCAGCAGCCAGTATGATTGGACTTCAGCGTCGCCAGACTTGAGTTCAGGGCCCGCATAAAGCTGCTCTCCTCCGCGCCAACCTCGTATTTGCCTCCGGGTACCTTTGCTCCGAACAGGGGCCTGACACCGCCGTCCTCTAGCCATCTTTCAAACGGTGGTTGCTCTCCAACTGCGCCTCCGGCATTGTCCACCTCTTCCTCATGGCCGTAATGGCAGGCCGCAGACAGACTGATGCCGACTAACACCAGCACGCAGACTCGCATTGTTGGCTAGCGCGAAAGGAAGACTGACATGGAGGGCGACTTGTAGGCAATATAAACATGTCGTTTGTGTACTTCTGTCTTGACCCACACTGACCTCACCTGCCCGTAGGCCTTCGTCTCTCAGATGCGCGTAAACATGCGCTGCCAGAAGAATTCAATTTTAGAAAGGTCGCTCGCTCCGCTGGGAAATAGCGGAGAAAGCGGCCCATTTGGTACTGTGGTGTGCATTTCGGTCCTACTGCATAAGGCAGTGATTTCGTAGGTAGTCCCTCCTTAGTTGAGTCTTTGAAATAGCTTAGGTAGCTTAAATGTGTGTTGTTGTCGCTTTGGACTGCCGTTTGACGCAATTTTGTGGACTTTTCGGGTCACTGGTGGGCGTCCAAACGTTCCTCAAGTCGTTTACATCACTGCATAGTGGTTTTTCTCTAAAATTATGGTGTACATCTGAGAATATTGTTTTTTTAAGTCTGGCACCAAGTCCTTTGCAGTCGATTGAACTGAATATTCTCGATTTCTGTAAACAAAATCGCATTCTTACCTGCAAATCTACCACCATTATGGGTTGTTTATATAAACTGGTTTGACCATCGGGGGAGTTAGTTAGTAAATATTGCACAACAGAGTGCAGTTCTATGTGAAAGTCGGAGTTCCACCAGAAACCTCACGGGTAACGCCGGGGAGTGGACCACCGATGGGTCGGACCCCTCGTGGGTGAGTCGTGAAATTATAAAAAGGGGAAAACACGTACCTGTGTATTCGGTTCGTAGTTAACCCAGAAGTCTGGCGGGGGGCAAGTTTTTGCGCAAAACGCAGTTTACTGAATTATCCCCTAGAGGATAATATGCCCTAGATAAAGGGCCTTCACGTGAATCGAGGACGGGTCCAGCCCTATCTGTTTTGACGCCTGAACTTGAAGTTCGATCGTAAACTACAGCTGAAGCCAGCGGTCTTTCTAGCAAGTAGGGCAGAGCACACAAATACGACTAATTTACCGTTTGAAAACTGTGCCTTATCGGAAAATAAGCCTTTGACAAATTCTACTGCCGTCTTCAAATAATTATCTCGGAACTGTTCTTTTTTTACAATGAATATGTCATTAGTTACAGACGATACACAAAGGCCCTGTCATCACCGGTAACGCTTACCGTCGAGCACGTTTCTCTAGTCCTGTTGGGAAATAATTTGTCTTTCAAAAACATCTTACTGTGCAGTTTATACTTTCCTTTTAAGCACAACTAGCAGTATTGTCAAAATGCAAATGGTATCGGAAATCATATGACTAAGGCCACATTGCATATTCTCAGAAATGTTCAACATTTTTTTCCACTCTGCATTAATTCAAAGGTAAAAAAGGAAATAATTTTGCCATACGGCTTAGGCAAATCGAAGACTTCGCCCCGAACTGTGTGCACAAAACAGCAAGTTGATAAGGCGGGTGGCGAAATGTATTAAGAGAACATGTTGCAAAATGAAAGTTCCCCTCGGGTAAATCACTCGCTTAGGTGGTACTTTCTATCCACCAGTGAGTAAAAGTATTTCTGGAATTTTTATGTATACTCATGAGGGGATTCATGTGAACGTCACCCCCGGTGTATAAAAGACATATCCAATAAATCAGTTTACAAAGGACATTAGAGAGACCTAAAGGACTGTGGCTGCGGTGCCCGTTAGACCTTGGATTTGATTGCGGACTGGAGGGCTCAAGATCAAATGCTCGAGGAGTGGGCCGACGAACGACACCTAGCTAGTTGAGTCCAAGAGTTATTAAGGTCCTAGGCGTGCGCCGTCCATCGAATCAGTCTGATTTCATGCTAGAATCTGGACAGGGACCCGAGCCTGTAGGTCGTCCCACTCACTGTATCAGTGGGCTCCGTTTCCAAGCACGCATGAAAAACACCTGCTGTTATTCGGCAGGACGTCTCACAACAATTTGAATGTACAGACGACTTGCGAGCGTAAATATACAGTTAGTGACCTAACTCATGAAATGTGTCGAAATTTACGAATGATTGCCAATCACTCGCAAACCGACACCATTTCATGAGTCAAATATCTATGTTAATTAAGTACAAGTTTAAAAGAATTAAAAACATAAAAGAAATACTAAAGGCAGCGTTTCGTTGTTTAGAAATGTCGACTTATTTTAGAAAAGCGCAATATCCCGAAAACGTCAGAAATGGCTCTAATTTAGTAAACTTCGCTTTTAGCTGTATAGAATGTATTCTCATGCCAAAAAAAGTAGTAAATATGAAAGTACAAATGAACTAACATCTGTTTCAGTGAAGGTTACATCTAAATATCGTTTAATTAGTAGTGTGATTTCATATATGACGGTTTGTCAACTGCCTATATTCTGAGTGTAGATTCCAAAACAGTTTTTCAATGTTTCGTGTTTTCCTTGACTCTTATCAGTTAACTGAGATGGGGTTCAACAAGAGAAGCTGGATTTTGCTTGATTTCGCCGATGGGGACGTCGTAGGATCAAAAGTTTTCATAAGGTGGCATACCATGAGGCCGGTCGGGGCCTAATAAATTTAAATAGAACTGACAGGCGTGATCGTAACCATATCATATTGTGTTTATAGTGAGAACTTTTTTCCGTTAAATTAATTTATACTTTTCCTTCGTTTTGGATTACGTTGAGTTTCAGATCGGCCTCGAAATATTGCTGAATACTTCAGTGATTTTCAGTATTTTCGCCCGATCGTCCACAAAGACTGATTCTGAATTACCTCTCTGTTGAGAAATTTAAAATAAGATTGTTCTTGAGGGCATTTACCGAATTAGTGAGTATTCGGGCGCTCCTTTTCACGAAGATAGTCGTTTGGGTCACATGTGAAGACTCATTCAAACATCAAACATTATTTTCAAGAAAAATGACTGTCCACAACGAAAGTCACCAACGGGTATGCCTTGGATCAATAGGAAAACTGTCCTTAATAAGTTACATCTTTAAGAAGTGCTTTATTACTGCACGCCGTTGACAGATCTCTGTGTACTTTGCATTTTTGCACAGTGAGGCCAAGTAAAAATTTGACATTTTTGGCGATTTCTTTCACGTTCCTGAGCAATACTAATACTTTTCTAACGTAAACGTAAGAACATGCTTTTCTGTGTACGTTGAGGCCATTTTCACTGTTTTTGCTCGCTGTTAGACTCCATTCTTAGATTATGAATGCCCGGCTGAGCGCCTACATAAATACTGATATTTTGATGGAACTATTAATGTTTTGCTCTTTCTATTTCCGAATAAAGTATGCGAATAAGCAAAAATACACGACAATTAGTGTGTCATATGTTTAAACCTGGAAATGACCATTCCGTGGGGGTCATCTATGTGACATCAAGTAAAATTTTCCAAACTGCAAAGCAATTACAGGTTGATTACCACGGTTAACATCGGACATAAAATAAATTTTCAAGTCCGGCTAAATCTGTTTATTAAAACTCTCGCAGGTAAATTACTATCCTTTCATTGAAAAAGGTGCTCAGATGCGTAACCGGAATCTTGGACATGTATTAACATAGGAAATTGCACAAATATATTTCAACGTCTATTTTCGTTAAAAAAAATTACTGATATTTTAATTGATATGATTGCGTAAACACAAGTTCTGAACAAGAAAACGACATTTCATTGAAGGATGTGGGTGAGCGAACAAAATGCGCAACGTTAAAGGCGTCCAGAAATTATGCCATCAGATTCCGTTATCAGATTTCACGAGATAGGTCACGTACTGTATGTAAAAACACGAACTAAATAAAAGAGCTTAACAAGTAACGTACCCTCAACTGTCGCAATCGAAACATGGGCTTTGGTTTTTCATCATACTGCAGTGCTAACCGCAGATTTTCTTCATTTTATGGAAGTACAGTAGGTGGGCTAACTCATGAATTTTCAACTAACATTCCGAAAAGCGTTTTCGTTTCGAAAATATCACTTAAGTAGGGTTTAAAATTTGATCATCTTACAGCATACTTCTAATAATAATTCAGTTACCACGAGATGACGGTTTTTGAACGAACTTCTTTGCGGCTGCATGCAAAAACTATACTCTACAAAAAATGACTACACATGTAGCATGCCTTTTCCCGTTGATTATCGATGTCTTTAAAAATTCAATTATATTTTATGGACAACATGCATAACAGTATTCATTCTTTTACTTATTCGGTAGAAAATTACGTCTTCTGATTTTGTACCCGAAGGAAAGATATAATTCGGTTTTAACAAAGTTTCTAATTGTGAGACTTTTTAATGCTGTGACATGACCTTTCATAAGACGTCATGTCTCTGCACTTACCAAAGGTTAAAATCCACTGCTACATTTTATGAACCTCATATAATCTCTCTTTAAGACTGCGGACAATTGTGTGGTTTTCCGTACGCGGAAAATATACGAATTGTAGATTGGGAACCCTGGATGCAAGCGTAACGGCAGGTCGGGGTTCGAAATTATTCGAGAATTGGAAAAGTCCTTGAAAACCGGATTATGCCCTTCCTTTGAGTATAAAATTGGACGAAGGCGTAATTTTCTACCGAATGATTAAAAGATTGAATACTGTTATATATGTTGTCCATAAAATAACTGAATTTTTAAAGACATCGAAAATCAATGGGAAAAAGGCATGCTACATGTGTAGTCATTTTTTGCGGAGTATAGTTTTTGCATGCAGCCGAAAGAAGTTCGTTCAAAAACAGCCATCTTGTGGTAACTGAATTATTGTTAGAAGTATGCCGCATGATGATTAAATTTAAAACCCTACTTAAGCAACCTTTTCGAAACGAAAACGCATTTCAGTATTTCGGTTGACATTTCATGAGTTAGCCCACCTAGTGTACGTTCCGATCCTGCTTTAGTTCCTAATCGCCATTCTCTCCATCTGCACAGCATATTAACGTTCGAATCAGAATCCTTACACTTAGCCGCGATATAAGACCGATTTTGTCGATTTCTTTTGACGGTCAGTGCTCCTTTTATAGCACGTAGCTAACTACT